AGTAGCTGCTCCTCGTCCTCCCTGACTCCCCCTCCTGATATCCCTCCCCCGCCCCGCGACGAGAATAGAGAAGGGAGGAGGAGGAGGAGGAGGAGGAGGAGGAGGAGGAGGAGGAGGGATAGATGGAGGAGGATGGAGGAGAGCCACGGTGCCCCCTGGCACGTTGAGGCTTCGCAGAATTCCAAATACTGTCGGGTAGGGTTTCAAGAAGGCTTCTGCCCCCCCCCCTCCAGGTCACGCAGCGTTGCATGCATCGCCCCACCCCCCCGGGCCCTCTCGAGGCCCCTTGGGCCGCCATGACGCCTCCTCCCTGCGGCTTGCGAAGGTTCTTCGCAGCTTTCAAGACGGCACAGGACGCCCAGCAAGGCCGCCAAGACGGTCCAACATTGCCCCCATAATGCTACCAACACCCTCCAAGGAGACCCCAAGAAGTGCCAATGAGGCCCCAAGACGACTCCAAGACGTCGAAGCGGAGGCCATGAGGCCCTTCCAGGAAGGCCAAAACCATCGAACCCGAACCCGTAAAGATGTAAACAGTTTGCGCTTCCATGGCCTCCCTGTTCAAGATGGCTCCCAGAGGGCTCAAGCTCGGTCTGACGCGAATTCAGGGGCGAATTCAGCCGTGGCGACGAGGCACAGGTAGTGGTATCGGAATGTTTTCCCCCTCTGACTCCTACCCCTCCCCTCCTGGAGGAAGAAAAACATGTATCAACATAACCTTGCGGAGGTCCGCGCGGTTTTCTTGGATGCGCGGAGCGCGACAGGGGTGAAGATGGAGGCGTCGCCAGGGGTGGCCAGGCTCCGATCCAAGGAATCCGCGAACCTCCGAAAATGTATGCTCATGCCGCTTATCTTCGTCTTCGATCCCTCCTCGTCCCTCCTCCCTGCCGGGGGATGGGGTAGAAAGCGCGGTGCCAGCACACAGGGGGCAACCGGGCCCGGGCAGGGACAGCCGGCGGCGGCCCCCCAGTGCCAAAACACACTGGCCGGCACAGCGCAGAAATATGACGAGGAAGAGGAGCAAGAGGACAATGAGCAGTGAACAATCGGACCAGGACCCAACTTCCATCCTCAACAGCACACCCGGTGGCTTATAATCCCACCAGACCTTTCGGCGAAGGTGGTCTAAACGACGTCTTTCTTTCCTATTCCAAAACTCTCTTCCCCTCGGGGAGGGGTTCCCCTCCCTCCCCTCCCTGAGGCTTTTGGAGGGGACCCGAGGAGAAGAGCGTCAAAGACGGCTCAAGGGAGCGCCACGAGGGCCTCCGAGATGTCTGAGATATCTCCGAAATGACTTTCGACATACCCCCAGGAGGCCCGACGAGGACCACATAAGGGTTCCAAGTGCTATCGGAGCCGCCAGTACCCACCAAAAAGCCAAACTCTTTGAAAAAAACGAAGTGAATATCAATGATCTTTGCATTCTCGCATGCTCGCTTCCGATGCGGTTTCAAGATTGCCCCAAATGGCCCAAGAAAGCCCAGAAAGGGGCCCGACATGCTTCCAAAACGGCCCCGAGAGCGCTCAAGAGCGCCCCCAGAGGGCCCCCAGAGGGCCCCGAAAGGGGGGAGGGAAATCGAGGACCCCTCCTCTGATCGACGCCCCGCAAGATGGCCGCAAGAGAACCTACAGGGCCCCCAAAGCCGCAAGAGAGCCCAAAGAGGGTCCCCAGAGGGCCCCAAGACAGCCCCAAGAGCGCCCCAAGAGCGTCCCAAGAGGGCCCCAAAGGGCCCAAGAGGGCCCCGAGGGGCATTGTGCCTCCTCCTCCTCCTCCTCCTCCCCTCGCCCCCCCGCGGGCCCCAGGGATGGCCCGAAGAGGCCCTACAAAGCCAACCCCTTGCCCCCAGAGATCTCTCTGTTCATTATGGTTGCCCTCTCTGTTTCACAATATGTCTATATTCGTCCCATTTCCCGTCAGCTGTCATGGCAGGGTTTCTGAACGGGCTGGCGAGGATACCCGAAGCGTGAAGAATCGGGGCTTGAACTTGTTTGGGTAAGTCAAGCTAGTATAGCTAGTATAGCTATCACTCTAAGTGTTGTGCAGGCGCACAAACGCACATGCCAGGAGCAGGAGGAGGAGCAGGAGGAGGAGCAGGAGGAGGAACAGGAGAAGGGTCGACAGCCGCAGCACGTGAGCGCTGGGCCCTCCTCCTCTCTCCATCTCCATCTTACTCCGCCGACCCTGTCGGCGTGTGTGACGGGCTTGTCTGTTCTAGTCGTCGTCTCGTCAGTCGTCTCAGTGGTCCCATTTCCCTGCACCCTCCTCGTCAAGCCTGTCATCGTAATCGAATCGAAGGAAAACCCCTTCCCTTTGATCCCTCCCCCGTCGGAGGGGGGGGGTCCTGGGGGGTAGGGAGGGGGGGATGCCCGGTGTCAATGGCACAGATATGTTCGAATGTAGTCAGCTAGGCACGATGCAATGACTGCGTGACGCACGTGCTCCGCATGTTTAATGCGTGTATGTGTGAGTGTTGCCGCTGCTGTTTCGTGACTCAAACAGTTGTATGGGGCCCCTGAGCTGATAAGAACTACAGGCGAATGTGTTCGACCCCTGCTCAATACGGCTCATGGTCGTTCTTGTTCTCAATTTCATGTGTAAGCACTTTGGTGTTTCCATTGAAGTGCGACCGATATTGGTAGCGGTAGCAGAGCCAATCGACTCCAGACCCGCGGCCCTGAGCTCGAAGAGATTCGCCCGGCCTCGCATCCAACCGAGCCTCTGTAAAAGTGACGCGCCAGGCTGGTGCTCCTCCAAAATCTTGGCCGAGGAGGCCGAGAAGGAACAGCGGCGGACAAGGCGCGGATCCCGGGCGATGACGACGACAACGAGCTGAGAAGCGACGGCCGACGCGGAGGCGGCGGCGGAGAACGACAGCCGCAGATTGACGCTGGGCTGGCGAGGTGTTGTCCAGGCGCGAGGGACCTGAGCCACGACACGTACAGGAACTTCCGTCGGCGAGCGACTGCGATGCGCTCTTCGGGGACTTCGCGAGGCAGCCGAAGGAAACACTCAACGCGTACGCGCCTGGGCACGGAAAAAAATTGGCGAAGCTGCCAGAGGCAGCACTTGAGCTGCCAGATCTGCTGGCGGGCCGCGACATGACGACGAAAGCGGCAGTACAAAGATGGCAGACAAAAACCAAGTCGCGCTGCAACAACTCGCTGACGGTGCCAGTCGTGACGGGGAGTATCAAGACGATGTTAGGAAGTGACAACACCGCGTACAAGAAGGACGTTGGCAGAGTGGTGCACACCTGCAAGGCGAAGTAGAAGGATAGTGGGAGGTCGAGGACACCTGGGAAAACGCGGGCAATACCTTGCACGCAGATGGCACTGGTCCGCATGATTGCAAGCAACAAGGAGAAGATGAATGATATGACGATGAAGGCCAAAAATATGAAGTGCCCGAGAAGCCGCATCGGCCTCCGAGGTGACGGAGGAAGCGCACGCAACGCATGCCGCAGAAAGATCCAAGATAAACGAGCTGGCGAAGGCAAATGGGTTTTACCCAATGGCAGCGCTGATCGACTTTCGACGCAATGGGCTACCGCCACCGCGAGCGGGCACGGCAACACCACAAAAAGAGGAAAATGTCAAAGCAGCGGCGAAGCCCGCGGAATCTCCAGCAAAGGTAAGGCCAAAGGCAAGCAATGAAGTGGAAGGCCATTTGGTTTCCCAGGGCCTGCGAATCCAGAAGGTAGCCCGAAGACCTCAGGAACTTGATCGGCTCAGCAGCACGGGCCACGATTCCAGCGACGGAGAGATGGATACTTGAAGGACGAGGGCGCAACGTATGAGATCCATGGCGACATGAACATGACGGAGGGCGCACCGAGCATGGAGACTGCGCATAATCGACCAGTCGAGGATATCAACCTGGCGACGGGAAACAATTGGCAACGGCGGAGCGGCGAAGCCTGCGATGGGTCTAGAAGGTGGCCGTCTGAGCGGCAGAAGCTAACCGACATGGGCATGGGGAACGGGATCATGACGGAGAGGTGCCACAAAGGTGGCAGCATAACCGATGGCAATGAGGTCTTATGGGCTTGGGCCGACGCACGATTGCAACAGTCGCAATCAAGAAGTCGATCTCATCTGAACGCAATTTCAACTGCAAAGCACAAGTGACATACAAGCGCCAAACCTATGGGAGCATGAACGTCGAAGCTACGTGCGTTTCCATACTCGTCAAACTTCCCAGTAGGTTTAGCAATCGTCGTCGAGTCGAGTCGAGTCAGAGAGAGAGGGAAAGAAAGACAAAGAGAGAGAGAGAGAGAGAGAGAGAGAGAGAGAGAGAGAGAGAGAGCAAGAAAGAAGCCGGGCGGACACCACACGGCCTGGGTCAGCTCGCCGAACCAGACTCCGATGTCCAGCAGGCGGTGAGAGGCGGCAAGGGAACGGCCAGTTCGCTCTGGAGCCTTGCGCCTGGCCTCGATCCCCCGAGGCTCGCCCGCCAACGCTAGACGACAGGACGCGAGGAGCTGGGGGTGGGCAGAATTGGATTTTCTTGCGTCGTCCTTGGCCACGGAGTGTACGATCATCCGAGTGCGAGGCACCCACCGAACGACCTTGTTCGTCTATTCCCTATGGCTCTGACAGAACAGCTAGCTCCGACGCCGCGCGCCTATCCTCGGTGCTGGCGTTGCCCTCTTTGCGCATCGTGTCACACACTGATCTAGCGTAAACTAACGAAGCTGGGTCCCCCGACCGCTGCCTAGAAACACTCCGATCTAAAGATAGTGGCACGCGGACCAGAAGCCCTCATACAATCAGGAACATCAACATCATGGAACACAACATCACGGTATAACACCTGCACATGCTCTACCTCTGCGACTGCCGCTGACAGCGATGGCGTCTCCCCCGCCAAGGTAGAAGGCACCTTCCGCTTCAACTTACATGACCCCCACCCTAG